GTACAAGAGAAGCCCCAGAATAGAACTTGCTGGTATTGGTAGAGCTCTATGGAGAAATCCACATAACCAATATCTGCTCTATTCATAACTCTAGCTATTGCTCTGATTCATTAACAGAAGTCTTTTGGAATGCAGTGCACATTAAGTATTTCTCCTAAGAAAACAATCAATTTAAATAATGACAGTGGTATTACTGTGGTGTAATAATGTGTCTTCATCCACGGACTCTTTAATATGAGCATGGGCTCTGTCTTGCATGCACTAAGATTATGTAGTTCAAGGATTCTATCTAGTAAATAAGTAGTTTGGGGTAGTACCTGCTGCTATACTTCCCCTGTGTGTGGGGGTGTGTGTGGTTTGTTTTGTTTTTGGTTAACCCCCTCCCTCTGTTAATTTTTTAAAATTTCTCTATACATGTGTTGCAGGCAGTGCAAGCTGCTTCAAGCTTCTTGCCAGCATGGCTCAACCTTGATGTGGAGAGGCAACCTCTAGGAGTCAGAGGGCAGCTCCTTCATTCTGCCTCTATTGCCTTAGTTGGCAGGGTGGTTTCAGCCAGTCACAGCTGCCTGAGTGTTACCATGTTAACCTGAAAACTTGTTAAAATGTGTTGCTCCCTTTCCTTGTCAACCCTCTGTTTATACTACTTTGGAGGCTCTTGTCTGGGTCTCATCTGATCCTGGTGAGGTAATTAGAAAGGAGCATAAACTCTGCCAAATTAAGTGTAAAAATGTAATAAGAAAAGCCAAAGAGGAGTTTGAAGAACGGCTAGCCAAAAACTCAAAAGGTAATAACAAAATGTTTAAGTACATCAGAAGCAGGAAGCCTGCTAAACAACTAGTTGGGCCCCTCGATGATCAAGATACAAAGGAGCGCTTAAAGACGATAAAGTCATTGCAGAGAAACTAAACAAATTCTTTGCTTCAGTCTTCACGGATGTTAAGGAGATTCCAAAACCTGAGCCAGCTTTTGTAGGTGAGGAACTGTCACGGATTGAAGTGTCACTGGAGGAGGTTTTGGAATTAATTGATAAACTTAACATTAACAAGTCACCGGGACCAGATGGCATCACCCAAGAGTTCTGAAAGAACTCAAATGTGAAATTACGGAACTATTAACTAAGGTTTGTTACCTGTCCTTTAAATCGGCTTCTGTACCCAATGACTGGAAGATAGCTAATGTAACGCCAATATTTAAAAAGGGCTCTAGAAGTGATCCCGGCAATTACAGACCGGTAAGTCTGTCGGTACCGGGCAAATTAGTCGGAACAATAGTAAAGAATAAAATTGTCAGACACGTAGAAGAACATAAATTGTTGGGCAAAAGTCAACATGGTTTCTGTAAAGAGAAATTGTGTCTTACTAATCTATTAGAGTTCTTTTGAAGAGGTCAACAAACATGTGGACAAGGGGGATCCAGTGGACATAGTATACTTAGATTTCCAGAAAGCCTTTGACAAGGTCCCTCACCAAAGGCTCTTACGTAAATTAAGTTGTCATGGGATAAGAGGGAAGGTCCTTTCATGGATTGAGAACTGGTTAAAAGACAGGGAACAAAGGGTAGGAATTAATGGTAAATTCTCAGAATGGAGAAGGGTAACTAGTGGTGTTCCCCAGGGGTCAGTCCTAGGACCAATCCTATTCAACGTATTCATAAATGATCTGGAGAAAGAGGTAAAAAGTGAGGTGGCAAAGTTTGCAGATGATATTAAACTGCTCAAGATAGTTAAGATCAAAGCAGACTGTGAAGAACTTCAAAAAGATCTCACAAAAGTAAGTGATTGGGCAACAAAATGGCAAATGAAATTTAATGTGGATAAATGTAAAGTAATGCACATTGGAAAAAATAATGCCAACTATACATACAATATGATGGGGGGCTAATTTAGCTACAACGAATCAGGAAAAAGATCTTGGCGTCATCGTGGATAGTTCTCTGAAGATGTCCATGCAGTGTGCAGAGGCGGTCAAAAAAGCAAACAGGATGTTAGGAATCATTAAAAAGGGGATAGAGAATAAGATGGAGAATATATTGCCTTTATATAAATCAATGGTACGCCCACATCTTGAATGCTGCATACAGATGTGGTCTCATCTCAAAAAAGATATACTGGCACTAGAAAAGGTTCAGAGAAGGGCAACTAAAATGATTAGGGGTTTGGAACGGGTCCCATACGAGGAGAGATTAAAGAGGCTAGGACTTTTCAGCTTGGAAAAGAGGAGACTAAGGGGGGATATGATAGAGGTATATAAAATCATGAGTGATGTGGAGAAAGTAGAGAAAAGGAAAAGTTATTTACTTATTCTCATAATACAAGAACTAGGGGTCATCAAATGAAATTAATAGGCAGCAGGTTTAAAACAAAAAGTTTTAACAGAAAGTTCTTCTTCACACAGCGCACAGTCAACTTGTGGAACTCCTTACCTGAGCAGGTTGTGAAGGCTAGGACTATCACAGCGTTTAAAAAAGAACTGGATAAATGTTATACCAATAGAATAAAAACCAGCAGGATCTTATTAAGAAGGATAAGGCAAAGATGCCACATTTATTGTAAATATACTGATAAAGCAAAAGATAAAAGTAAACAACGTTGTTTGACTACTTATTTCTTACACACACACACACACACACACACACACACACACACACACACACACATATATATATGAGAGAGAGATATATATATATATATATTCATTTACACAATCATTCATTCAAGTTCTGTATAGGTGTTATAGTTACCAGCCTAGAAGTTGCTCATGCCAAGTTACTGGCCAGGTATCTTGGTCATGAGGATGGAGCCGAGTCCGTGTCAGGTGCACCTGATGCTCCTGGAGGCTGGCAGCAGAACCAGAGACTCAAAGTCATCAGTCTTTAGAGTCCATTCTTATAGGAATTAATTCCCATGTTAGTCTATGGGAGCTGTTTCATCCTGCTGTTGCTGACTCAATCAGCAGATGGCACATTCCTGGTGGCTCCACACTGTCCAAAGTTTGTGTTTCTCATCCTTCCAGGTGATGGAGTGGATCCCAGTTTTCCCTCCGGGGGTTTCTGGTCATCCACTTGACACATTCTTCGGCCGATGGATACTCCTTTTCTAGGCTGGCACCTCCCTAACCATTTATGTACATCAAGCATTTATCAACATACATTCCATATCTTAACCATATTTTAATTTACTGTCTCCACCACTTTTGGGGTGTGTGTGCTAATTCATTTGAAACTCCCGGCCCTTTAATCACAGAGGGTGGGGGTCTGTCCTAGCAGCCGTTGAATGAAGTGAAAGTCACTTAACAGCTTATAGTGTTTGTTTACATTGTATCAATTACTTCAAGAACAAACTCAATTAACTTGTTTGTAAGTTTTACATAGTAGTAAAGTATCTTTCACAGGATAGATATAATCAATGGTTTCTACAGACAGTAGCTTACAAGTTTTAACAGAAGACCCAAAAGATTTTTGTACTTGGTGAAACAATTTTAAAGTGTGGGGGACAAATTATGAGGGGGTCATTGTCACTTGGGGGAATCACTGTTAGTACCTTCTTTTATATCCCTACATAAATTCATGGAGGTTAATGGCTATTAGCCAGGATGGGTAAGGAATGGTGTCCCTAGCCTCTGTTTGTCAGAGGGTGGAGATGGATGACAGGAGAGAGATCACTTGATCATTGCCTGTTAGGTTCATGCCCTCTGGGGCACCTGGCATTGGCCACAGTCAGTAGACAGGATACTGGGCTAGATGAACCTTTGGTCTGACCCAGTACAGCCATTCTTATGTTCACAGATCAGGCACCTCACTTTGCCCATGTTCCTTCTAGTTTTTTCCAGCAGTGCAGTGAAAGCTTGCTTTTTCTTAGTACTTGAGCCTATGTAGGCACTGGCTTTTGCAGCTGTGGAGGAATCACTGATAATACGGACACTTAGCTGTCAGTAATTAGCTGTACACAATTGACTTTTTTTTTTTTCCAATCTGCTCGACCACCATAAGAGTCTATCTGGTCAGTGTCCACTTTGTGCCATCCTTAATCCTGCTAATGACCTGGGCAAAATTTTTCAAATTTTGGTTGCCAAAAAAGTGGTTTAATTTTCAGATGTGCTGAGCACTTTCAGGGGATGCAGAGGATGCTCAGTACGTATGAAAATTAAGTCACTCTTGTTTGGGTACATTAACTTCAGGCAACAAAGTATAAAGAATGTAAACTTTTGGTTTTTTTATTAAATCGTGAACAGACTCTTCATGTTATTTGGTAACTGACATTACTATAGTAGGTCTAGGGTCCCATGTTTATATATGTAACTTATAAAAGCTTTTTGTTCTTAAGCAAATGTCTTTTGTTTTGTTATAATGAACAAATGGGGGCCCGAACCTGTTTCCTCAGATGTGAGGGGTTTTGGGAACATGGAGAGTGTTGAAGATGCAGCATCTGAATCCTGAGGATTCATGGGGAAGGAAAGTGGAGGCACTTACACAACAGGGTTGCTCTTCTATACTTTCTTGGTTCTTGCCGGTAGCACAGATCCAGCAGGAGCTGCACTGCGGTTGTCTTAGTTCTTCACAGCTGTCTTGTGCCAGCCATGGTTGCATACCATAAAATATCTGTGGGGTCAGCAGAGGGCTGTGTTGGGAAGAGTGGCAAGTCCCTGGCTGTGGTCCCCTCTTTTTCCCCAAACCTGCTAAAGCCTGAGACTTGTGGTATATTTACAGGGTGTTCCACTCCCCCCATAGCCTACACCTGTCAGGTTTTTGTGCCTACTACCCTTTATTCTTAGAGGCCTATTATCCTCTGAGTATGCTTGTTTAACTCCTAATGTTAATTAGGCACACGTATCCGTATAGCAGACCATTCAGGTTGCATGCTGCTACAGTAAAATATAATTGCAATTTGGGGGTTTGAAATGTAGTTATGTTCAGAAAAGTGTCTATTAAAGCACTTTTACTCAACATTTCTGCTTCCTGTACTTATTACATCCTATCTTCTTATTTTTACTCCTGCATTGCAGAGCCAACAGTTATGAGAGAGTGAGCAGATTCTATTCTGGTTTATGCATCAACAGAGCTGATGAACGAGCTAGGGGAAAAAACACAACTTGATTCTTTTAGGACCATGCTGATATTTGCAGACCTGATGGGTAGGAAAAAGTCTTTACTGTGAACTGCATTATTATTATTATTTATTTTTAAATGTTAAGAGACGCATGTTAGACCCAACAACAGTGCTTTGAGTCACTTCATCCTTCAGTTTCACTGGGCCGTATAGCTCCAGTTACTACATTTGCTTCTGTTGCATAGACAGAACTCATAAGTTTGTCTACAAGAACGTATACTTAAAATTGCTATGCTGTACTGGATCTGGACAAAATGCATTATATTACCCCATAAAGACAGTTGTGTGTAGCTCAACAGAAAAGTAATCTGATCCATAGAGGTGTTTCACTTGTCCAGATTCTCATTAAAAAATACTCTGAAAGGAAAAAAAAGAATGTATTACTGCAGCATCGGAAGAACTTGCTGCATAACTTGAATAGCATAGGATGGTTCTAGTATAATAAAGTTATCAGGGTCACTTCAATAGACAAAAAGTGGATTAACGGCTAATATGTACTCAAATTCTAACTACTAGGTTTGGCAGCTCCTTTTCCTGGAATTGGGAGCATTAATAGTTTGGAAAGGTTTTCAGCCATGTAGGTATTGAACTTCGTATTAATGATCCATTTCTCTGGGGTTGCAGATTTATAGGAGGCAGTTAAGGCATACCTTTGTGAGAAAACCTAAGGGGTGGGCAAAGGTTAAATGTCCTTTCCAGACAAATACTTTTTAACTCTACAAGGCTATGCACAGATGTGTCCACTAACTTGCTAATGAATGCATAGTTTTAGTAACCTGTGACTTATCTGCCCCGAAACAATTTTTTTTATTTTGAAAAGAGATAATTTTGGAGGGAGGTGGGGGTTGAAGAGAATATTTTGTACATAGTCTCTTCCTCTTAATGAGAGTTGCCAGGATAGACTATATCTTTCTTGAGAAGAGTCAAGGAAAACGTAGCAGGAATGCTTACCATCTGGAAGGAAAGGAGATGGGGAAGCAGCATTTAAGGCTGCAGCTGTGGGTCTCTTCCCTCCTCTGGATTATGTAAAGGGCCATCTGTCAGATAATCATGCTGGGAAAGCTTCCTTTTAAAAAAGTTCTGAATTTCAGTTGTGACCGAGCACTTTTAAAGAACTGTGAGTAAGGCCTGAATTTCTATATGGTCTTTTTTTGAGGGACCCGATTAAAACTTCAAAATAGCTGTTTGTTTTTGTTTCTGTAATAAGAATTTAGATGTAATCTTGGTGTCAACTGCTAGCTGCATTTAATGTACCAACACATCAGAGTCTTACATGAATCCTACATAAGTTGTGCCATAAACTGTAGTTGTCTTACCTGTAACATTCCAGACTTTAAAGTTTTAAATGGTGGCTGGATCATCCACATGAACATCTGAGAAACATAGGTCTTAGATGTATGAGCCATTTTCCCATTCTAATAACAAGTAGAGTGTATGTTCTTATAACCGGGATCGGCAACCTTTGTCATGCAGCCCGCCAGGGTAAGCCCCCTGCCGGTTTGTTTACCTGCCGCATCCGCAGGTTTGGCCAATCGCAGCTGCCACTTGGCGCGGTTTGCCCCTCCAGGCCAATGGGGGCTGCAGGAAGTGGTGCGGGCCAAGGGATGTGCTGGCTGCTGCTTCCCATTGGCCTGGAGCAGCAAACCGTGGCCAGTGGAAGTTGCGA